CACCGCCGTACCTTTAAGTTTTCCACACTGCGCCTCCGCTGAGCGTCGGAATGCTGTTGTTTTTGCTTCTAGTTGAAGAGACTCTCCTCAGCCAGCCTTCCCGTGGTTCTGGTTGATGTCCGCTCCGACTTTTAGTTGTATTTTTGAAGTGGTTGTTTGAGGCAGCAAACTCCGGTGTTTACCTATGCCGCCATCTTCGATTCTTCTATTCCTTCTTCTTGTCTGATCGCTGTGGCTAGGACTTCCAGTACTATGTTGAATAAGAGTGGTAAAAGTGGACATCCCTGTCTTGTTCCTGTTCTTACGGGAAATGGTTTTAGTTTTTGCCCATTGAATATGATGTTGGCTATAGGTTTGTCATATATGATCTTTATCATGTTGAGAAATGCTCCCTCTATTCCCACTTTGCTGAGAGTTTTTATCAGAAATGGGTGTTGGATTTTGTCAAATGCTTTTTCTGTGTCTACTGATATGATCATGTGATTTTTGTCTTTCAATTTGTTTATGTGGTGTATCATGTTTATTGATTTGCTAATATTGTACCAGCCTTGCATCGCTGGAATAAATCCCACTTGGTCATGGTGTATGATTTTTAAAAATATATTGCTGAATTCAATTTGCTAATATATTTTTTGAGGATTTTAGCTTCAATGTTCATCAGGGATATTGGCCTGTAATTTTTTTCTTTGTAGTGTCTTCATGTGGTTTTTGAATTAGGATAATGCTGGCCTCATAAAAAGAGCTTGGAAATATTCTTTCCTGTTGGAGTTTAGGAATAGTTTGAGGAGTATTAATCTTTGGTAAAACTCCCCTGTGAAGCCCTCCAGCCCTGGGCTTTTGTTTGCTGGGAGTTGTTTTTTTTTTGTTTTTTTTTTATTACAGCTTCTGTTTCATTAGTTGTTATTGGCCTATTCAGGTTTTCTGATTCTTCCTGTTTCAGTATTGGAAGATTGTTTTTTTCTAGGAACTTGTCCATTTCATCCACATTGTTCATCTTGTTGGCCTATAGATGTTCATAGTATTTCCTTACAGTCCTTTTTATTTCTGTGGTGTCAGGGGTTACTTTTCTGCTTTCATTTCTGATACTATTTTTTGGGTCCTCTCTCTGTTTCTTGATGAGTCTTGCTAATGGGTCAATTTTGTTTATACTTTCACAGAACCAGCTCTTGTTTAATTGACTTTTTGTATTTTTTTTAGTCTCTAGGTCATTTATTTCTGCTCTAATATTTATTATTTCCTTCCTTCTACTTACTGTGGGCTTTTCTTGTTGTTCTCTTTCTAGTTATTTTAATTGTAGGGTTAGTTTATTGCTGATTTTTCTTTTTTTGTTTTTGTTTTTTGAGGTGGTGCTATGAATTTCCCTCACAGGACTGCTTTTGCTGTGTCCCAGAGATTTTGGGGTGTTTTGTGTTCATTTTCATTTGTTTCTAGGAAGTTTTTTCTTTCTTGATCTCGTTGTTAACCCATTCTTTGCTTAATAACTTGCTATTTAGCCTCCATGTGTTTGAATGTTTTGGGGTGTTTTTACTGTAGTTGATTTCTAATTTCATTCCACTGTGATTTGAGAAGATGCTTGATATTTCAATTTTCTTGAACTTGTAGAGACTTGTTTTGTGTCCTAACATGTGGTCTGTCTGTGTGAATGTTCCACGTGCACTTGAGACGAATGTATATTCCAAGCAGGTAATTTATTGTTAGCCTGTAAATTTTTGTAAGGTTCAGTAGGACAAACCCAACATTCCCTGCTGTGCCTGTCACCCTTCTGAAGATATCATCTTTGTGTCTCAATGTTAGGTATTAGAGCTTGGAGTATGTACATGAAGAAGGTCCCTTTATCCCATTCATTCCAGAATTGGCGCAGAACCATTACCTGAATTAATGGGGTGGAGTAAAGGACCCTGACCCAGCCTGGCTAATAACCGTAAGATCTTAGCTTCAATTTGTTCAACCAGGGTGTCCCGCCTGAGCCTCTGCTCACACGATAATCATTGTTGATTAACAGCTTCTGGCCAGTGTCGTTCCTTATAATGTTCATATAAACCCTCAAGGGAAGGGCCTTCCTCCCCAACCTAGGGGAAATATCTTGTAATTAGATCTGTACTGTTTGGCTTGCATATACAGTAAGTTCCTCTCCTATATGCCATACAGGCAGGGGCAAAGAAAGGCAGCAGACTGACTGCTGACTGATGACGTAAACGTGGTTCTCTCTGGGCCATGCTCCAGATAGGGTTTTATGTAGTGCGTCCAAATGTGCAGCCGGTGGGAAGGGCTCCTGGCCACCCCGCTCCCTCTTATGTGTCTTGGTTCCTTTCCTGCCGTCTCAGGCAATGGAAGGGCTTGGAGAGCTGAGTGCCAACCGTCATGTGCACATCCTTGGATGAGCCGGTCAGTTCATTACAAGTGAAATGCAAGTCCCTGAGGTCCTTGTGCAATTTAGGGTTAAACCCCAAACATCTCCACAAGGACCTTATTCATGTAAGAACATGCAAGACTCGAACTGGAGGGAGGAATTACCTTTTATTTGGAGTCCTGGTGAGCCTGGGCACTCATTTGGTTTTACTTTCAATTTTGTGTCCCTGGGCAGAGGCCCAGTCTGTGTTGCTAACCTTTGTGATGCTGCAAAAGAAATCCCCAGAGGAACTGACCGCACTGCAATCCATTGTCAGGGATCAGAGATGACTGGGCAGTGATCAGAGCCCCGTCCCAGTTGCTAATCTGAGTCATGGCCCCAGAAAAGATGTTACTGGAGAGCCACCAAGTCAGAGGTGGGGGGAGGCGGCTCTCCTCTCCTCAAGGCTTGTTCATCTCCTGAGAAGGACTCAGATGGGTGACAGGAAGCAGTGTGGAAGCAAAGCAAGGCTTCATCAAGAATGCTCTTGGTGTGAAGCACCAGCAGGCAGGCAGCTCAGCTGGTGTGAGCACCCCGCCCGGTGGTGGTCCAGGGGGCTTTGTACCCTCCCCGAGGGCTCAGAGCTCCCTGCAGGTACCCTGGGCAGCAGACTAGGTGTCCAGGTCCCCTTCTGCATTGTTGCGGCTGATCTCAGAATGTCTGCACATACATCTGGTCCTCTTGTTGGGCAAGGCCTCAGGCAACTTTGTTCAGTGGGTGAGATAAATCAATCCCCTTGGCTTTCTCCCTTCTTGCCTTTGCTGCTCTAGTACAGTGGGGCCTTGACTTACGAGTGTCCCGACTAACGAGTTTTTCGAGATACGAGCCGTCTCTCGGCAGATTTTTTGCTTTGAGTTGCGAGCTAAAATTCGGGTTACGAGCCAGCTTCAGATACCCCACCGCTAGTTGGTGCAGCGAACATCACAGTGAACGCCACAACATCAGCCCAGCATCACGTGTCTCACTCGTTCACTTTTTGATTTGACAAACAAGTAATTGGAGTTACGAGCTCCGTCACGGAACGAATTAAACTCGTAAGTCAAGGCCCCACTGTAGCTGTTTAATCTGCCTCACAGCTGCACCCACGGTTCTTTCTAACGTGGCTTCCAGGGGCTCTATTTCTTTGCTTCCTTGTCTTCTCAGCCGTGTGTGTCTAATTCACTGATGCCTCCGGAGTGTCTCAATTAGCTAATGGACCAAGTCAACAGACTCCTTTGGACCTTTGCCGTGGGCTGAGGCCTTGGTCTATAAAGCTGAGAATGTTCTAATGGGCCTTTTTCAGTTTTATTTCCTGTTATTTGGGGTCCTGTAGCTGTTACCTTTTCCAACACTACACGGCCTCAAACACGTTCATTCCCCCTTCTGTGTTGGCAGTGTCTTGCTTGCATGTATCTCTTCCTTACGCCTCACTACAAATGAAGGAACAACCAACACACAGGGATGTCTGGCTCATTCCCACCTCTTTCCCCTGGAGTCACAGCCTCTACGTCCCTGGTCTGCCCTTCGAGTTATTGCAAGTTTTGATTTTTGCAAACACTTTGCCTCTGCATAACATGAGCCTCCCACTGTCCACTCTGCAATATCTATGTTCATGTTCCCTGTTGCCTAATCACTAAGCCAATCCTGTGGACTAAAGGTTTTAAATGACAGAAGCACCATACTTCACGGTGTTAGTCCACTACCTGGTATGACAGACAGACCCCAACATGTAGAATGCTGAAAACACGACAGATATGCAGTTCTTGCTCAATAACAAGCCAAAAGGAGAGTTAGTTATTGACAGGTTGGTTTTCTCCACGTAGCGATGCAGGGACCCGTGTTCTGTACAGCCGGCGAGTTTACGGTCCCTGAAGCCTGGTCATCACGGCGCTCAGCATGGAACGAGATAGATGGAGCCGTGGAGGCTTCTGCCTCACTCCCACGCACATGCCACCGGCCGGAACGCAGCCTCGGACTCACTTGCTACGAGAGGCTGGTGGGTGCACTCTGTCCACAGTGGGAACAGACGAGCGGAGCGGCCTCTCTCACCACCAGGCTCTCCACCCTCTGGCCCGCCCACCGCTCCGGGCAAGGGCCCAGCAGCAGCCCCGGGACATGGCTGTGGGTAACACTTCTGTTCCTCCAGCTGCGTGCATTTGCTAGTATTGGGGTCACCTCGCCTTCTTACTTGTGCTCTTCCCGTCCTCCCAGCAGTTTCCACCGCCAGTCCCCACACTAGGCCCGTCCGAAGCACCTGCAGCAGTTTCCTTCCCGACTCTGTGCAGACTGCCCTTCGAGCAAGAATGGCCTGAGACACGATCTTACACACGGAAACCTGGGGTCATGACCCGGCCCGACTGGGCCAGTAACAACTCGCCTGCCCAGGGAGATGGAGCTCTGGAAGGTCAGAGCAGGTGGCGACCTGTTAGTCTCTCACCTATCTGATGAGCCTGAGCGAGGCGCTTCTCGAAGGTGGAGCTGGGAGGCTGCCCGGCTGCCCCTTGTCACTGTGGTGGGGACAATAAAGCCACAAAGCCCTGGGGGGTGGGGGGGCTGCTGGGACCACCCTGGAGTCGGCAGAAAAAAAACTAGACTCAGCTCCCGGCGGAAGGACAGAACCAGAGAGCGTCTCTGAGAGCCAGAAAAGAATCTGTTTAATATCCTGTAGCCATGAGAACGACACAACTGAAAACCACCCAGTATTGGGCCTGCAGGCTACAGTTCCGTGCCCTCATAGAAAACTTAGGGTGCTGATTTGGAGGAAGTGGGGCCCTGAGAACAGCAGAGGGGACATCTGGGTAGACATCAGCCAATCAGAGGCTTCTGCGCTGAGGACCAAGCGAGGGGATGGGTGGACGCTCCGTCAATCTCCCCATCACAGTGGCCTGGCACGCAGCCACCTTCTCAGCATCCGCCGGGCATCCCCGTCAGCCATGGACCTTGCGGCTCCAGACAGAGCCCTTCCCAGCCTTCCCAGTGACCAGGGGAGGTGCAGGGACAGTGCACGGCCCTCCCGGGCCGTCCTTGAGAGCGGACAGAGGGCACATTGTGTTATGGGGAGGGGGATGGGCACAGACCCTGCCCCTGCCTCCCAGCCTCCTGCGGCTACAGGGCCTGCCCCTCATCTATCCGACAGGCCTGATGGCCTGGCCACCGCAATGCCTCTTCTTCCTCCTGTGTTTGGGGGCAGCACGGTCACCCCCAGGCTGGGAACTAGGAGGAAAACATCCCACTCAGAAAGGAGTCCCCCATCCCTGCACACCCCAACTGGGGATCAACCTGCAACCGGGTACATGCCCTGACTGGGAACTGAACTGGTGACCTTGTGGTGCATGGGACGGTGTTCAACTAAGCCACACCGGCCAGGCCCCTCGATCCTGTTTTGAGGCCATTGGTGACGTTGCCCCCACAGGCCGGCATGGGCACCCCATCTCGCTCCCCTGGACTAGAAGCCCCAAGAGAAGGCTTTGTGGGGGAGAGAGACACGTCTAAGAGCAGCAGCTGATGTGAGGCCCTATGACATCACCGCCTCTTCCAGGTGAGCCCCTTGCAGCCGCTCTGCGGTGAAGGCATGGCCAGGCCTCAGATGGCCCTTCCCTCGGGTGGAGGCAGGGACAGGGCAGGGCCCTGGCTGGCGGTGAAAGGGGAGAAGGCACGGGAGCAAGGTGCCCCCCAGACCTCGGTGGCCCTGCTGTCTGGCTGTGAGGCCTCGGCCACCCTGTGCGCACGTGCCGTCCGGCTGCGAGCAAGGTCAGGGCAGCAGGGATGGAGGGCGGGGAGCCCCGCCTAGCCCCTCACACCTGCGGCTCCCACGCCTCAGCTTATTCACTGTAAACGCAGGGCCAACCAGCAGGCAGCCCGAGGCCGGCCACGGCTCCCGCTGACACGCATGTCCGGCGCTCTGGTCAGGAACTTAAAAAACAACAAAGGGGCCCAGGGCCTTGGCCAGACGTCACCCAGAGCGGGTCCTGAGGGGGGAAGGCACGTGAGTTACGACCTGTTTTGAAATCTAAGCGAGATGTGAGGAACCCGGGCCTGTGAGCGACCTGCTGGGAGGGGCTGGTGCCGCCCCGGCCACAGCAAGGGCTCCCGGCCTCCTGGCTGGGAGGTGGAGGGGGGCGGGCTGGATGCCGGACACATGGGGCAGCACCAGAGGTGGCCAGCCATGGCCACACTGACCGTGCCGGCCGAGGGCTGCCGTGTTCCCAGCCTGGAGAGCGTCAGGCTCTTGCTGCTGCCCGGGCCCGGCGGCCACGCAGCACGGCCCGCAGCGGTCAGCGGCACTTTAAGGCAGCGGAGGCAAGGCAGCCACACCTGCAGGAACTAGGACAAGCTGTCCCTGGGCCAAGGCCACCCACTCTCACTGCCCGCCCCCCACCCCCCCAGCAGCTCCTGGTTCAATTAACGAGTTCTGTCTGCCTGCTGGCCCAGCATGGCCCGCCACCTGCTGTTAGAACCAGGCTCAGGCTGAGACACACCGCCCCTGGCCCCACCCACCGCCTGCTTGTCCCAGCCCCGAGTCGGGCATCCTCCTAGCACTGGGCCACCTCACCCACAGGCCGCAGAGCGAGAGCACCAGCTCACTGAGCTGCTGGACAGTTTCCATGACGAATCTGTATGTAAACTTGTGTGAGTGGGGAGGGAAGGAGGGAGAGAAAAGACCCGGCCGGTCTGTCCACTCTCAGGCCTACCCCCCCTTCTTCAGCTGTGCCAGGGTGGGCTGCCCCAGCCTTGGGAGGGGCCCAGCAGCTGTGCCCACCCCCTGCTGGCCCATGACTCCCAGCACAGGGGAACAGGCGCTCCCCTGGCCCTCATATAGCACACTGCAGAGTTGGGGAGCACAGCCGGAAGGAGGTGCCCTCCGCCATTCCCAGGCTCCCTGGGGCCAGAGCGTGCACGTGCAGGTCACGGCCATGCCCAACCACTGCTCCCCCGGAAGGTGCCCCGAGGCTGCGGCCCCGAAGGGAAGCCTCTGCAGAAAAGTGTCTTTCCTGGTGGTGAGGACGGCTTTGAGGACAGTTCACCTCCCTCCCACCTCTGCTCCACAGGGTCCCTTCTGAGGAAGCTCACCCAGGGCCCGGGCCAGGGGGGCGGGTCCCTGGGAGGTTTTGGAGCCCCTGGAGCTGCCTGGCGACAGGCAGATGGAGAGGGCAGGGCAGCCACAGGGGGCGGGACCTCGGTTCCCGCAGAGCTGACAGACAAGGAGGCCAGGAGTTAGGGCACAGGCAGCAGGGAGAGAGCAGCTGGTGCCCCCTGCCTCTTTGCCCGGCGCACCGCCTGGCACTCAGCTTCCGTGCTGCCTGTGCTGTGTGCACAGGTGAGCCCGCGCTAATGCCCAGGCCACCGTTCCCGGCCACCCCTGCCAGGCGGGCAGCTGGAGGAAGGCGGGCAGTGCTGACGGCAGCCGCAGCTGGCACTGTGCCCTCGGAAGTTGGCACATAGTTTCTATTGCTCCTCTCAACACTGGGAACACCCCCTCTGCAAATAGGACCGAATGGCAGGGGTGGTGAGGGGGTGCCAGGACAGCACTTGCCAATCACAGAGCAAGGAACTCAAGGGGGCACAGCGGGCCACAGGGATGCCCGTCCGTGTCCCAGTCCTGCCTACGGGCCCTCACAGGCCTGCCCACAACAGGCCGTATGGTCTTCCGAGAAGCCGCCAGATCTGCAGGCAGGAGCTGCCGGGATTCGGCTGCCTGGCCTCCCCTTGCCAGTCACCGGACCTGCCCATCCTCGGGCAGCCGCCTCCGGGGCCCAGATGAGCGTCCTTACAAAACAGCTGAGTGGCCCACCGCCATGGGATCCAGGTCTCCTGAGAGCACACGGAGGCAGGGCCAGGGCGAGGAGAGGTCTGGCAGGGCGCACCTGCCCCCGGCCAGGGTCACGGCTGCAGGCGCTCCAGGTACTGCGGCAGCGGGTTCTCCTTGACGTACTTCTGGATGTACCAGCACGTGAGGTGGGCCTTCAGGTCCTCCTCCACCACGAAGTCCAGGGCAGCCTGCACTGGCAGAGAGAGCGGTCAGTGCCCGGAGCCCCACCCTCGGCTGTCACCACCCGCATGTCAGAGAGGGAGCCGGGAACTGTGGGGAAACTGCCTGGAGCACAGGCCATGGGAGGGAGGAAGCCAGGACTGGATGCTGAGCTCTTCCCAAAATGCCCGGGAGGTGGTTTCCACTCAGCGCAGGCCACAGCCAGGGCCACGTGGGCAGGGGCTGAGCCTGGAGACCCCGCCTGCTGCCTGTCTGGTCCATCCTGCAGGCGCCCGGGCTCCTGTCCACAGCCTGCCCTCCCCCTTCAGGGCCCTCAGGCTTACCTGGCGCCTGCCTGACCACCCCCCCCCCCACTCTCTCTAAAAGTCAGTGGGAAACATACCCTCGGGTGAGGGTTAGTAACCAGGAAAATGTTTGCTGAAACAAAGCCGAGGACAGTGTGGGCGGCCGCTGTTCTGATGAAAAGAAGCAGCACTTACTTGGCCCTTTGACCTTCCGCCCCTGAGTGGCCTGTGTCCTCCACGCAGCCCACCCCTGACCCGGGTTACAGCCTCTCATGACAGGAACCAGCTATCCTCCCATTTGCAGAAAAAAAGACTGGAAGCCCACGAAGGTGCCCGTCACAGTAAGTGCCCGAGGTCTGTGCCTCAGGCCCTGGCAGGCAGGGCTCTAGGGCAGCGGTTCTCAACCTGTGAGTCTCGACCCCTTTGGGGGTCGAACGACCCTTTCACAGGGGTTGCCTAAGACCGTCGGAAAACACATCTATAATTACATATTGTTTTTGTGATTAATCACTATGCTTTAATTATGTTCAATTTGTAACAATGAAAATACATCCTGCATATCAGATATTTACATGATGATTCATAACAGTAGCAAAATTACAGTTATGAAGTAGCAACGAAAATAATGTTATGGTTGGGGGTCCCCACAACATGAGGAACTGTATTAAAGGGTCACGGCATTAGGAAGGTTGAGAACCGCTGGTCTAGGGGGAGAGAGGGCTCCACTCCCCGCTCCCCAGGTCAGTAAAGCTCAGTTTATTTTATTTATTTTTGTTCATCCTCACCCAAGGATACTTTTTCTATTGATTTTAGAGAGAGTGGAAGGGAGGGAGGGAGGAGGAGAGAGAGAGAAACCTCCAAGTGAAAGAGACACATTGATTGGTTGCCTCCCATAAGCGCCCCAACCAGGGCCAGGGATAGAGCCTGCAACCCAGGTACACGCCCTTGCCAGGGAATCGAACCCACGACCCTTGGGTGGGTAGGCTGATAGTCTAACCACTGAGCACACTGGCCAGGGCTCTCAGTTCTTTCTGGGTCACATGGAGGGTGGGAGAGGCACAGAGGCCTGGGGGTGTGGGGCAGAGGGGGAGCCAGCCCAGGAGCAGCCCTCAGGGACACTGAAGGCTTCTCTGGTCCAGGCGCAAGTCCCCTCGGCAGTCAGACTGCTCTCCCCGCAGCTGGAGCTGGAGGTGCTTTGGGGAGAAGGGGGTGGGGCATCAGCCAATTTACTTGAACATTCGTCACCCATTCATTCCAAGGGTGACAGAGCACCTAGGACACACTGGACGCCGGGGACACAGCCACGAGCTCCTGATGGGCAGCAGGGTCAGGGCCTGGACCGCAGCAGTGCAGCACCTGGGGCCTGGGCCCAGAACCACCGCCCCCGCCCAGCCCCAGGAGCAGGGGGCCAGCAGACACGCTGCCCCTCCCCTGCCGCCCACACCCCCCACAGCCCCCTGCCCACTCCACACCCCACCCCCGCCACCCCACAGCCCCCGCCCTACCCCACACCCCCCCCGCCGCCACCCACCCTACAGCCACCCCTTCCCGCCGCCCCACAGCCACCCGCCTCCCAGCCACCCCACAGCCACACACAGAACCTGCCCCACAGCCCCCCATCCCCCGCCACCCCACAGTCCCTACAGCCCCTCCACCCACAGCCACCCCCCCTGCTGCCCCCTCCCCACACCCCTCGCCAACTCCCAGCTGCAAGGCTGGCAGCAGGGTGGGACCCATCTGCACTTTGGCCAGCGGGCCCTCCACCCGCCCTACCTTGGCGAGGTGCTTGGCGATGCCCGCGCCCGCGGTAGGCGTCGGGGACCTCGGTGTGCTGCAGGTCCACGGTCCGCTTGCCCACGTACTCGTAGAGCAGGACGGCCCGATCGTGACATCCTGCAGGGGAGGGTAGACGCGTGAGCATGGCAGCTGGAGTGGAGAGAAGGCGTCGGAGCCAGGCTGCTGGAGCCTCAATAACCTCTCTGTGCCTCAGTTTCCCCATCCATAGAATGGGGACATAATAAAACACCCCTCATAGGGTTGTTTGGAGACTAAAGAGTCGTCTCTGTAAAATGTTAGGACAACACCCAGAATACTCCAGGCCACCGTGAGTCGTTGTTACTCCGTCTCAGCATCCCAGGACCCCCAGGGCCCCCAGCCCAGCCATCTGTGTCCCCACCTGCGCTCCCTCCAGAGGGTCTGCCGGCCCAGGCCCAGCGCTGGGTGCACTGCAGGACTTGCCAAGCCCCCACTAAACCAGAGCCCGAAGAGACAGGAGAGCAGATGAGACACGCAGCAGGACCTCTCGCAGGCCCAGAGAAGGTCAGGTGTGGCACTGGCATCCACAGGGAAGTGACGCTGGACACAGGACAGGAGCAAACAGGCCTTTTGTGCCCTCGCAGTCTTGCCAAAGCCTGAAGCTCACCAGCCCCACCCCCAAGAGGCCCCACTGGGGAAAACATTTAACAGGGGGCTCCCCCCAGCCAAAAGCCTAATTCCCCATTCTGTCTTCTCTGGGGCATCCCATCCATCCATCCAAACCACATCCACCCCATTCCTTCGATTCCAACCATGCAACCCATCCATTCCTTCCTTC